AAAATTCAAAAAGTTCTGAAAATAACGATGAGACCTCAGATAACAACGCTCCAGAAGTAGATTTTCCGCATCCGACGTCTGATGAAGCAAACAGCAACAACAGTCCAACTGAATTGAATAACGAGAACCAAAGTAATAAAAATGAAGAAAAGTCAGACCAGGATAAAAATTTTGCATTTGTGCATTTTTCGGGTCCAGAAGCAGATTTTCCACACCCAACAATCAATGAAACAGAAGTGAAAAACGAACACCAAGACAGCAGTGATGAAGATCATCCAGTCAACATAAGCGTACAGTTTCCTGAGAATGACAAAGAAGAAAAGTCARCACATCCTGCSGTTCCAGAACCAGACCTTAACAGCTTAAATAGCAAGGAAACTGAGTCGGCAAGTGCCGGTGCTGACAGCAACGATGGAACGCAATCAAAAACTAGCAATTTAGAAAGCAATGACCAAGTTCTCGCACAAGGATTTCCTCATGAAGCCGCAGATAACAGCAACTCAAAAATAACAGAAACCAAAACGAAAAATGACGAAGAACTTTCAAATACCAACAAACAGCCAGAAACTCATGCTGAWGSCTCTGGAGATGGACCCCAAKCTGATTTTCCACATCCAACGGTTGAAGAAACCGAACGTGCAAGCACGGGACCTAGYGACAAAGATGTACAAATAAAAATTATTTTGCCTGAAAGCAGCAATGTCCATGAGAACTCGCTCACAAAACAACCAAATACTATTGACAGCAACTCCTTGCTTGATGCAATTGAAAGTCGAATAGCTGAAAACTACAAGAGCGCAAATTCTGAGAACAGCTTTTCCGACGCCCCGGCCGAAGCACAACATTTAGAAGCAAACAGCACCACCACCACTAACAACAACAACAACAGCGACAACAACAGCAACAACAGCAGCAGCAGCAACAACAACAACAACGTCACCAGTATTTTAGGCAACCTTCTGGCAAACTCTAAACCAGTAGAACTCCATGATAATAAAACTACTGAAAACATACCCGAGAAGCCAGGAAATGCATCCTCTGTCCAGGACGACCAGCTCAAAAGTGACAAGCAGGGAAAACAAACCGAAAGTGATGATGCAATGTCAAACAATAAGAAACCTGGAAAGAATAATAAATCGTTTTCTGCTGGAAAGTCAAATAAAAGCAATAATGCACACTTTTCCTTCCTTGACAAAATGATCAAGAAATACGACTATTACAGAAATAAGCAAAGTCAGCTCTCCAAGTTACATGAACAGCATCTCCAAATCAAGAATCAAAAAAATTACCTTCAAAAGCTGCTTAAGTCARAAACCAAAAAGGYCTCTTCCCAAAAAAGTCGCAAATCCAAAAAGAAGCATCGTGATAAGACTAAAGCTGGAAAAGTAGTTGATAARATTGCWAAACAGCTTGAGAAATTAAGGAAACAACAACAGCAGATTATACAGGCGCAGACACAGCTTGAACATCAGATTAAACACGAAGATGACTTCTTTGGGAAGATGGATAAAGCCGCAGAGAAGGAAAGCAATGGAGTRGAGTTTGTCCAAGACACAGGCGGACATGTTCCTGCGGACGTTATGAATGCTCTTCTCGACACGCCCCATAAACAGCTTAAAAAACTTAAAGAACAAAAAAATCAACTAAAGTTAAAGAAGAAGATAAAACTTCAGGAGGAAGAAGACGAACAATTCCTTACTCCCGATGAAATAACAGCTTGGAATTCAAACAGTTTCGACGACTCACCACTAAAGCAAGAATACGATCCTATGACGTCAGATTACCATAGTGACGCCACTGTTTACGACACAAGACCAAGTTACCATGATGGTTTCGGTGCACCACCTACTAATTACCATGGTTACCAGGAAGCCGCATATGGCGCGAATGGTGGAGATTACAATGGGGAGCTTACAAATCAATATAATTCTATGGGAAATAAATATGAAATAGTGCATGATTTCAGTGATTACAATACTGGTGGTGCTAGAAATAGCATAGAGTATGCAGACAAGTATTAGTTTTACCACYTCCACTTAGATTATCACAGGCACATGGAAACTAAGACTGTGTATTCCATGCATCAAGTGCCRAATGCACAACCACATAGTGATGGAAAAAATGCACGATACTGGTCGAGTGCTTCATTAAGACTTTCAGATTAAAAAATTAAATGTGTACATAATAAAAAGATATGTAGGTGTAGAATTTGGAGCATACGTGAATGTCATAACAATCAATGCAATGAGTTAATTATAATTACTTACATTAACATATATGAACGAGTAATATGAGATTATTCAGRACTTAGTGTAGGTATAATAGTACAAAAAATAAAATTAATTCGATTTRTATCAATACTAGTCTCTTTATGTAATGTATAAAATATGAGCGGGAGACCTTTATGGGCATTCAAAACTGCGGTGTCCCTTTTTTATTATTCAAACAAATGGTATTGTAACCTGTACCGCGATTCTTCTCTTATCATACTGACTTACATTTTAATTATCGTTGGGATAAAAGATCTGAATTGATATATCTAGCCGTAACGTAAGTCAATTCGGCGCATTAGAATCTCTATAAATTTTTGTTTGTCAAAAGTTTAAATTTTATGTTTTAAGTGGGAATTACTGCGTTTTGTGCGTTTTCAGTTTTGGCGTGYACACCAACACACGGAGGGAACTCCCAAGGAGCGTGTTGTATGTTTCCTTACACTTACAATAACGACACGTATAACCGCTGCATTAGTACTAACAGCGAACAGAACTGGTGCTCCACCACTGCGAACTATGACCTGGACAAACAATGGGGATATTGTCAAGGTACATAAAATCACTTGTCGCAGACGAGAGAATAAACCACAAGAGTATGACCTAAAAAATTTAGCTTTTTGTTTGTTTATTTGGTTTTTTTTTCCTTCGAGATTTTCTGTTTTGGGATCTCGAGAATTTAATTATTTCCAATATATTTTGGGTTTTAATCATAAATGGATAAATTAAACTAGAAAGTGTAGTTTTAATGTAATTTCCACGCTTGTTTGATATTTAAGCGTGYCATCAGACACACGGTGGAAACTCCCATGAAGCYTGCTGTCAGYTGCCATTCGTTTATCAAGGAATGATCTATAGGAATTGTATTAAAGACTCTAACGGAAGACCTTGGTGTGCTACTACCTACAATTATGATCAGGACAACCAATGGGGACTTTGTAAAGGTCAGGGATGTCCAATGCTCTAACAAATTTTTGCATACCATTGTATTGTATTAGAGCTACGACAATCATCGAGTTGGAGGTTGAAACGTTATGTTTGAGTGAACGTTGAGTTAGCTTTGAGTTAGCTAAGTAAACAACTCCATACTTTGAGAGTGTTAGAGCAGAGTCACATGAACCATGAAATAAGAACTAAAAAGTACTAACTAATAGGGACTATTAGTTCCTAATAGTCATTAGCACTGAACCAGAACAGTTTATTTGATCCAATAAGCAATACCCAAGGGACCACTTTAACAATCAAAGTAATCTCTTTGTACTGTTCTGGTTCAGTGRTASTGTCTAAATAGTGCCTATTAGTAACTAAGTATTTAGTTTCTATTTCATGGTTCAAGTGACTCTGCTCTATGACATTTGGGACTCCCAACCGATAGAAGATCCTAATAAATCCGATTTTGAACCCATTCACCGAGGAATCTGAAGTATGGCGGCCCTACTAAATCTCTACAACCACATTCACATACATTCTCTACAACCACGCGTACATTCTCATACATTCTCTGCCACCAGATTCACATATACATTCATTACTGCCACAATTCACGTACATTCATCTAATAATTCACCTAATAATTGTCAACGACTGATCTCCACAGAAGTAACACCCAAGTTAAACGCTCGCGTACAGGCCAAATGCCCGCCAACATGTGCAACCAAGTGTATTAGCTCGTGCCCTGACCATTGCTGTACTTCYCAGCCTACATCTCAGTCATCACTTGCATCTACACCAATGCCACCACCTCCTCCGCCTCCACCTCCTCCAGTATACATCCAGCCTCAAGCACCAATATACCCCCCTCCTCCGCCGATGCAATATGCTCCAGYACAACCACCACAACCATATTATTATAACTACAATGCACAATGCCCTGCAGGTTGCCACTTCTACTGTGCTGGACAATGCCCAGTATACTGCTGTCCACAAAGACAGCAGAGTTATTATACAAATTTAATGACACRTGCCAATTTTCCAACAACTTATAAATATCAACAGAGGAACTACGCGAGGTCATCGATAGGTCAACAGTGCCCTGTGTATTGTACCAGAAGCTGTTTACCGGGCTGCCCAGTGAAATGCTGCACAAAACTCAATATTCTTAAATATTTAGCGAAAAAGCATTCTGAAAAGATGAACGTTATAAAAAGGGCGAAATCGTTCAATATGCTCCAACCCCCACCAATGTCCCTCTCCCCTTTCACGTCACGTGAAMGATCATCATCAACTGGAGCATGCCCAATAACATGCGCTGCCCGCTGTACTAAAGCTTGTRCMCGCCAATGCTGTGCGTCYAGACCATCTGGTGTTACCACAAWTAATAATGGGAAAAGAGATAAAATTGGAACAACAAATGTACACGACATTGATGTGCGAGGTATAGATACTGCAATAATACCTTTTTCAGTAAATCAATGATTAATAATAAATTRAGAAATTAATTATTCTTGATCCCTCCCTTATAAAACCAAGATAAAGTCAAGAGATTTAGAATATATTCTTTTTTTTTAACACAGAAAATTATTTTATATTCAGATTGTCACGGAGGTATTCCCACGTTTGGCGGGAATGGGAATGGTGCATGCTGCTCGTTTCCGTTTATTTATCATGGCAAAGTCTACAATGAATGCACAAGCAAAGATTCGAAGGAGAAATGGTGTTCGACGACACCCATTTATGATGTCGATCAACAGTGGGGTCTTTGTTTATGGTAAAGTTCTTTTGATGCTGYAATAAGTCTCTTCATCGACAAAATTCCTGCAAAGGAAACATGATGATTTTTTTATATACCATTTCTTTTTTGTCGTCTCTTCACTGACTTGGTTGTCTTCTTCTAACATTTCTCTTAAGCAACCCTTTTTTATCCTTTTCTCCTCTCTGTATCGTCTTCGTCTTTCCTTCCGTCTATTCTCATTGTATCGTTTACCGATCCAATGGTTTTCACGAAATTTCCAAGAAAGTCAAGTTATGAATGAGTCACATCTTCTCTTTACCATTTGTAGATTTATGCCAGTGACCCCACAAAACAAAGACATGACAATACCGGAATAACATTGCGGTTGAAAGTGTCATGAAGCAAATGGAAAACTCCGCTATACAAATATCCAAGCAGCAACAAAGATGACTCATATCAACACGGAGTTTTTCTGAAAGATGTAAATTTATTGAAGGAATCTGATAATTTTTGTATATTACAATAAACATTTTTATGTTTATTACGAAAGCGAGTGTACTTGATCTAATTTATGTACATTATGTCATAAGAATTATTTTAAATGAAGCGTTTCTTGCGTCTATTCCTTCTACCCATAAGTTTTCGACCTCTTGGTTTGCCAATTGCTTGGTTAAAAGAGCCACCCATTCCTTGGTGAACTCCTGTTGCATCCCTTCTTTTCTTCGGAGTACCACCATGACCCATTCCTTGTAATCCACTCCCCAGTCCCCGAAAGCTACCCACCATCCCCTGTTGTTGTCCTCCGACCATGCCGGGCAAAACACCACCAAATCCCATTCCTTGGTTTAGCGCACCTTGGAGACCAGCGGCCACGCCTTGCAGACCTCCATGGTGAAGATTAAGATTGCCACGACTAAGCTTTTTAATCTGTTCTTTCATTCTCTGGATATCTGCTGTCAATCCTTGGATACCTCCGGGTACACCCAATCCTTGGTTTATAGTACTGATTCCAAATTTTCGAAGATCTTGTGCTCTTTCCTTCGTGAACAATCCTTTAAAGCCATTTGCCATACTCATGCCTTGTCCCATTGCTCCCTGCCCCATTCCTCTCAAGCGCTTTGCCATGCCATATCCTTTCTTAAGACCCCCCTGTCCCATTCTTTGAAGTTGTTCGCTAAGGCCTTTAACCTGTTTAAAAGCACCCATTCCAGCTCCTAAAAAAAGCAAAGATATTAAAATTATTTTATATCTAGCATGACAATCATGCATTGACAGTGGTGGCAATAGAATACCTTGCACATTTTTCAAGGATGACTGGCCCTGATTCAAAACACGTTTTCCCATTCCTTGCAACTGTAGAGCCAAGCTTTGAGACTAAAATGAGAATGATTATCGTTTGTTACACTCATTATAATGTTTGAGTAAGTGAATAATCCAAGTAAGGTTTTTTCTCTTACACACTCAAAAGTTATAACTTTCAAATATAAGTTACTCTATTCCAATGTTGCTATGACAAATATGCCTTGTAATAAATAACTCTTCCTACCTGGCCTACTGCTCCTTTGCCTACATTCAAGGCTGTTCCTTGACCAACATTTTTCARTTGGTTGAAAACACTGATACCTTGGTTTCTCAATTTTTTTATTCGGTTCATAGCTTGCAATTGAGCTTTATCTGCAAAAAAGGATAAAAAACACCAAAATAAAACTATGCAATCGAGCGGTCAGGAGCTTGACAAAGTTAATCACAAGTCAAGGCAATTAACCTCACAGTTTTTAAATGTGGATCCACAGAATAAGGATTATCCAAAGGATAACATATGAACAAATAAACCTCCACTCACTTGCTGTGTTGTGAACTTGACTCGCCACTCCAATTCCAAAGCCTTTAGCCCTGGTCAAGACTGTCCCTCCAGTTCGCTTTACATTTCTTCTGAGTGCCTGGGCTTGGCTGACCGCCCCTTGTCCTATTTTAGCAACTTTTCTTGCCACATCCTGGCCTATATTGTTAGCTTTATCAATCTACAAATAAAGCATGCAGACAATAAATGAATTTTGTTCAAAAATGAAGACATATTACCAATCATGAAAATACCTCAGCTGATAGTTGGTTTTTGAAGTTTTGAAAGCCTTGAAATAATGAGCGTTTCTTACGCCTATTTCCTGACTGTGCTTGGCTAAGACCTTGCTGTCCTAAGAAATAACAAATTAGAGCATGGTAAGTGATAATCTCACATGCTTATTTATATATACATTTATAGAAAATTTGGACATACGAAGTTTAGGAAAGTTGGGGTAACTGTACCTTGTTGTTGAAGATTTGCAAGAGATCCTCCTTGTGGTACCGCTCCCTGTCCCATTCCCTGCATTCCACCAGCCATACCCATACCTCGATTAAGAGCGCCACCACCCATTCCTTG